TCCATTTATCTATCAGATATCTGATATCTGATAATAATTGAATAAAATGAATTAAATGGATAGATAACCGAATAATCTGATAAATTATCCGAATCATTTGCTGTTTTTTAATTAGAATCAATGCTGGGGCAAACATTTTATTGATCGAACATTGATAAATACTATTTATTCCCTGCAATGGTGGGAATAAGAGTTATATTCCCGTTATTTGGGCCCAAAGAGTCCCTAGTGGGCTGGGATTTGCCTAGTGATTGAAGTTACATTTTTCTGATCTCCCTTTTATCTTGGTGACACTCATATACACTGCAACAGCTAACTTTGAATGAATTGGCAGCCACGAAAATGAATTGTCAAAGAATATGGCATATAAATTCTATAACACATCAAAAGAATACGAGGAAAGGTTAATTAATCCAGGAGTTAGCGATGGGACTCTTTATAAAAGCTTAAACTTTATTACATGAGTATTATAGAAGGAAGCAACTCAAATTCTTAATATAATAGATGCCTTATTTAATGTTAATAATTATTTTTCATTTAAAGTTGATGTCAATTGTCGTAACGCTAAACTAAACCTAATAAATAAAATCCCAATCAGATCTCTAAAAGCAGGCAGATGTCAATCCATAACTAATCAGATTAGTGAACAAACATATCTTGAGCTTCAATAATGTGGAAGTTTAATATATACAGTCGAAAAACTTGACGTTCAATTACTTGGTCAAATCGGATATTAAGCGATCATAGATTGCATCAGATATATATATGATCGTTTGATATCCGATTTTGATCAAGTATTTGTTTAGCTGATTTTACCAAAATGCACATCGTTTGACTAAAATTTTAAGTGCACACCTCTATAAGTATAATTTTCTTCCGAAGAGTGCATTTATGGAGGGTCGATGGTTATAATACCTCTTCTCAATCTTTCATCGCATCTCTCAATGCCCCCTTTCCAAATTTTTATAGCGCCCAATTTTTTGTTGCACTCTTTCATACCTTTCATTGTAGCATTTCGGAATATGGTGTTATGGCAACATGGCACAGTTCACAGCAAGAGCAGTAAACACCAACATAACCAATGTATATAATGCATATCATTCGCATTTAATATCGAATAGAACTCTGAATAATCTGCAATTCACTGAGCAATCCCATAAATCTAAAGCCGTTTATTCTAAACCTTATAATACAGCAAGTCAAGATTTTTTTTTCGTGAGGATCTAAAGATTAAAAAAAGCTTTAATTGAAATAGAAGCTGATACCAATAATGAACAAATTTTAAAATAGAAAAATAGGAAAACGGTAAAGTCAGATTATGAAGTATGTAGATCAATATATGAATAAACCGGACCCCTAAAGTTGATAATAGGGATCCTACGAACCCGAACCGAATCAAACTTTAAAGAAGTTTGAGTTTGATTTGAAATTCAAATCAAACTCAAACCCAAACTATTTTTATAGCTGTGTTTGGTTCGGGTTTGGATATCAAACTTTAGACTTAGTTTGGGCCCGATTTGAGTTCGGTTTGAAAGTTTGCAAACATGTTTGAAAGTTCGAATTCAACAAAATTTATAAACTTTATAGAGTATAAGACAATTCTATCTTACACTGAATTCAGTATTAATAACTAGTATAATGCATTTTCTTGATAACAAATTCTCCAACGATTACTTTTCAACTACTAACACAACCATCATTCTCTAACAATTCTTTTTTCTAATAACCGTTTTTTAAAAAAACTCTCTTCAACTCAGCGACTTATCTGATGACCATTAAATTTCTATTCTAAAATATTGACCTTCTATTCAACATTTACCCATATTAATCCTAACTGCAACCACAAACTTATGGTTAATAATATCTTACCCTTCGTTTCTTCCTAACCCAACTTTATAACTAAAACTATTCTACTCTTCATTTCATCTTAACCACAACCTTATAACCAAAACTATCTTACCCTTTGTTTCACTCTAACCACAATTTCACGGCTAATACTGCTCTACCCTTTATTTTACCCTATCTGTAATTACGGCTAATACTACTTCATTTCATCCTAACCCAAACTTATCTAATAACCCTAACTAATTCCTATAGTAAAATGTTAACTTTATTAGCACAAAAGAAGATCAATAAGGTATTAATACGTAGGTATCAATCAGAATAACATTATTCTAATTGATGCATAATGATACCTTATTGGATTAACCATAGCTGCTGCAACTAAGCCGTCTATTAATTGAAAATTGTTTCTGAGCTAATTTTGCCACTGTGCGGATAGGGTTGTGTTACATAAATTACAATTTTACATTACATGTAACTTTACGTAAATTTCTGAAAAACTAAATTTTATGTAGTGTTCATCATGTTATGTATAAAGTACCAGACTTACAAAAGCTCTGCCAGCATGATTGCATCGTTTGAATTGAATATACAATTAGGGTTGTTAAATTTCTAACTTAGTGTAAGATTTGGTAAATTGAGATCAAATTTTCGGTGATTTAGGAGTTACAATTCGAATCGTACATGCAAATCAAACGATGCAATAATGTTGGCAGAGTTTTTGTAAGTCTGGTACTTTATGTATAGTGTGATAAAAATTACATAAAATTTAGTTTTCTGAAATTTATACAAAATTACATCTAATGTAAAATTGTAATTTATGTAATACAAGTTGTGATGCAGTAGAATCGTCCCAATGAAGTCGAATGATAATTGTCACATGGCTGTAACTATAGTAATTAACATAGTAAAGTTACAATGCCGTAAACTTCACTATATTAATTACTATAGTTACGGCAAGTTACAGCCATGTGACAATTATCATTCGACTTCATTGAGACGATTCTACTGCATCACTAAACACAACCCTATTGTTAGCCACTCAAAATCGAGGATCTGCCGGGCATCTATTGTTAATCCAGGGTTGTTAGTGGCAAGCTTACTGACAAACAGCGACACCGATAAATGTTAACACCACAATCAACGCCCTATAAAAAAAAATCTCTTGAAATTGTTCGGAAAATTCTGAAATTATCCAATTTTTTGTTCAGAAAATCGACTCCGTTCCGAACATTTTAAAGGATGTTTATTGGATGTTTATGTTTTTATACATTTTTCATAAATTTTTTATGCATTTTTTATACGATAATTTTTAATCAAAAATTTTCTATTTTTACATCCCGTACAAACATCGATATGAAAACAGTACAAAAATAAACCCCGTTCGAAAAATCCGAACATTTTTTTGGACAATGCCTACAATAATTGAACAAACTTTTTTTATAGGGACGATACCGATAGATCAGGCACAATTAGATAACGACAGGCGCCAGGTAATAGCAGGCAGGTAGAGTAATACGACGGCACCAACTTGCGAAGATGCTACCGGGTAACGCAATGATACCAACAGGCGAAGACACCACCAGATAATGCGACGACGATGCCAAAAAGGGAAGATGCTACGCAGAAAAAATTATGACCTTTCATATCCTATATATAAAAAAAAACAATTAATTAGTAATAAAGAAAACAAACAATGAATAAAAAAAAAGAACATATCTTTATCGTTATATTCTGTTAATCATTGATCTAAGTAACCTGTATGGTGTTAACCACTATGAGCGCGTTTTAAAAAAATAAAAATTTAATTAAAAATTATAAAAAAAAATACTTGACCTCTAAATTTGAAAAGTTTAAAACTTTCGCTGGTAAATCAAATTTTAAGATCACATAATGCTGTAATATAAAGTTTGTAA